TATATATATATATATATATGTGTGTGTGTGTGTGTGTGTGTGTGTGTGTATATATATGGTATGTCTTCCTATAGAAAGCTAAACATGAAGTTTTTGTATTTTCATTTCATTATACTTTAACGTTATTTTTCTAAATCATGTATAAAAAAAATTTTTTTTTTAATGTCGCCTCGGACTTGCGATATAAGTTATTGGAAACTTTTACATAGCGCATCTCATCATCGGCGATTTAAAAAAGCTGAAAATAAAGATAAAATATAAAGAAAACTAACATGCCACACAGAAAAAAGCCATTAAATACGTCTAATGGATATCCAACAGACGTTACGACGTCTATTGGATATCCATTAAATGTATTCGATATCCTTCTTCTGTGTGAGGTACAGTATGTGAAATCTATAGGAAGCAATTGTAATACATAAATGGATAAATGTACGCAGTTGTGAACGGGTACGTATAAATAATATCTTATCGTATGTAATAATAAAATTTTGACGTTGTTAAAATACCTTGTCTGACTTTTCTTAAGTTTCCTTAAACTTACTCTGCAGAAGCGTTATCATCTTGTTGGTTATCTCCGTTGTCATCATGTTGATTATCTCTATTGTTACCTTGTTGGTTATTGTCACCCTGTTGGTTATCTTCATTGTCACCTGCTTGTGTCTTTCGCTTCTCCTCATTGTGATGTCTCGCCTTTGAGTGTCGGAACCATTCCATAATCCTCCGCTGGATTTTTTCGTGATTGGAATCCGGGATATTCTGAAGTACGCAGCCTACAAACATTTTCTCCATTTCAATTTTTTTGAATATAAGTAAATATATTGCGTCGCATTTTATTTAATAATTAGCAACACACACACACACACACACACACATTCTTTAAAAAGTTAGCACTCAAAAATCTCAGAAACCACCATTATTTTATACATTTTTATTTACAAATAACAAGGAATGTATGTGTTTTTTAACAAAAAATTCTCAAATGAAAGTTGTAGAGAATTAAATTATCTTTCAAATGAGACGAAAGCGATTATAGTACGTTCCATTTTGATATGATCAGTTTTAAATGTACGAAAGTGTTTCTTTTCGTCTATCAACGAGACAGCTTTATTAACGATACTCTACATATCTATGAATTTTAAGAACAATTAGTTGTTCACGTTTTTATTTTTCATGTTTTCTACTGTACACATTTCCTACTACATTTTCTACAGTGTCATTTTGTTCTATTTCTATACACAGAGCTATTTTAGTTTGAAAACGAGAATTATTTTGTATTTGTGAAAGAAAAATTTTTATTTTGTATTTTTATTAATTTTGTTCAAGAAATTTATTAAGTTCCATTTACTTTTCATCTTCTACTCTTTCGTCTTCTTGACGTGATTGATTTAAACAATGCAGAAGTGTATTTTTTTGCGGAATAACCAACAAGTAAGATAAACATTTAATTAAGATCATAACACCACAGAAATGAAGAGTTTCTTTAAAAAAAGCTCTACCGTCAATAGCTGAAAAAAAATATTTTTTACACATTTGTAACTCATTATGTCTCAAAACCTATAATGAAACGTATTACAATCGCTTTGATCTCATTTGAAAGATAATTTAATTCTCTATTACAATCTTCGTTTGGGTACTTTTTGGAAAAATCCATGCATTCCCTGATATTTGTAAAAGTATATTTAAAATAATCGTGATTCCAGAGGATTTTGTTTACTAACTTTTCATGGAAACATTTTTAACCTCATGTTTATAGGAAACTTTTTGTTTAGAATTAAATTTCGTATGAAAAGTAAAAGTCTGGCCAAAACGTTCGTGATCCCCCTGTATACATATACGTACGTACGTACAATACATACATATGTACATGCATACAATATACGTATGATCAAAATAGTTATAAGTTATATAATTGTAAAAATAGAAAATATTTAAGTATAATGTTCACGTAAAAATTAAAACAAGAAAAAATGATGACTTGTATACGTAAAACTGGAATTCAGTTTATTTTCGACAAAAGCCTTGTAAATTCGATAGAGTTAATTAATAATTATGAAAATGTATGTATATTTTAAAATAACAGTATATTTCTTAATCTATTTGTACCTAAATATGTGTACTTTAAAACATTTCTTAATCGTTCACAAAAATTTTTGCGTTTAAACATTGCTATGTAGTACTTACTGAAAATCACTTTTATTAGTTCCAAATTACGAAGTGGTTCCTTTCCGCAACGGCTTTCCCAATTATATTCTCTGGCTAATTTATTTGTGAATAATTTGTACAATATCCGTTTTACAGCATCAACGACGTTAGTTCCTCCGATGGATCCTGCCGCGACGACCAATCAATTCACTACTAGAAAAGAAAAGAACTACTCCGCGACCAGGGTTGGGGCTGCGAATAGTTTCTTACGTATAATACGTATGTATAATACGTATAATACGTATAATACATATAAAACATACGTATAATACGTATAACATACGGTATTATACGGTATAAAAACCATGTATAATACGTTATGTTTAATACATGCCCAACCCTGGTTAGGGGGAATATTACAACCTTTTAGTGATGCTATTAAGTTATTTAGAAAAGAGGTATTAATTATTTATAAGTCTAATATTATAATATTATATATTATATTAGGCCTATTATTTTATTTAGTTTAATATTATGTAATTGAATATTATATAGATATATTACTAATATTTATTATTTAAATTATTC